TGTTCATTGCTGAGTTTGGCAATGGATCATGTGGAGTAGATGAAGTAGATTAAAGAGCAAAGGACTGAGCACACGTCCTTGAAGAACCCCCAAACTGAAAGTAACACTTCAATCACACAGCTTCCTTAAAATACATTACCACATAGATATTTTCAAGCTGAAGACCAGACTGTTGCAGGACTGGCAGACATAGATGTGACTCAGGGAGTTGGAGGAGAGACACGTTTTAAGCAGTCTATTAATTTAAGATTGTGTGAGGTGCGTTTATAACTCATACTGTAGGCGGATCACGTCATTTCCTTGATCCACTGTTTGAATTTTACATGTATTTCAAGCTTTCTTGAAATACATTGCCACATAAATATTTTCAAGCTGTTAAATGATTTAATAGTAGTCATAATTCTTGCTAATAAACAGCTTCATTCTTTGGTGTAAGAAGAAATATTTGATGTGGTAAAACCTCATAAATGAGTAGATTGGACGGAGAGTTTATTTTTCTTAGTTACAAAAGTTAAAAATGACAGAACACAAAGATTCGACTGTAGCAGGATTGGCAACTAAAAAGAAATTACTTGAACCAACCTAAATGAATTGCTTCAATCAGTAACAAGTAATTCAATTAGGTTTATCCCACTTAATTTATTAAGTTTAACCAAGTCAAGTTTTTATGTCTATCCAACTCAATATATTATGATCATCTAACTCAATTCATTAAGTTCATCCAGTTCAGTTTATTAAGATTTTAACTGAATTCATTAAGTGTGCTTAAAATGACAAATTTAAGTCAGTCTTACTCAAATCATTTAGTTTACTTCAAATAAAGAAGGAAACTAATAAATTATCTTTTTTTTTTACCAGGGTTCGTAGGCCTTTATTTGAGAGTAGTTGTAGGAAAGTGGGCAATGACAGAGAGGGAAGCTAAGGTCATCAGGCTGGAAGTGAACTTAAACATTTGAGTTGACTTTCTGTAGAGTTAAAGAGATTCTAATTATTTATTAGAAAAAAATGATTTGAGTAAGAGTGACTTAAATTTGTCATGTTAAACACACTTAATGAATTAAGTTATAAAAAGGTAGTAAAATGAGTTGGATAAACTTAATGAATTGAGTTTGTCAGACATAGGATACAAAACTGCCATTGAACTCAATTGTTTCAAGTCAAAGTAAAATGTTTAAGTTAATGGACGTTGCTTAGATTTGTAACTTTTAAGTTAATTGAACACAAAAAAGTGAGTTGTCTTCACTAAACCAAATGAATTAAATGAGATTAATATAAATAAGTCCATAATATGAACTGACACTTTTTAGAGAGTAAATCTGTTGTATGTTCTTGAAAACTCTGGAGCTTCACAGAGCAGTAAAATAATCTGCTAGTGACTCACCGATAATAATAACCAGGAGGCTGCGGTTCCTCTTCTCCTTTTCTCAAAATAAGTTCAGGTATTTTGTCCAGACAGTGGTCTCTGCAGGACATTTTCAACATGGGTTATTTCAGTCTAAAGTGCTACATTAATATTCTTACAATACGTCGGTTTACTTTGTTTACTACAGATATTTCTTATTTGACACAGACCCCTCTGTCCGTCAGCTTGTCTTTGGTGTCGGAGAGATCGGCTGCCAGGCTGCCTACATCATGAGCTAAAAGTAATTAAAGTATATTATTAGAGAAAAGCAGAAAAGCTTAATAAAATTTATTCATTTAACTTTATCTTAAAAAGTTGGAAGAAATAAATTAATGCATTTCTTCCTCCTGCTGCTGATTTATCTGGACCAGTTTGGAG